TAAAAAAAAAAATCCTAAATTAATAATCTAACATCATATTAGATTGAAATGAAATTTTCTTAGTTATTTAATTTTGATTTTTCACTAATAAATTATTAGTTAAATAAAATATATCACATTAGATACCACGTGGCTCAAAAAAATAAAACCGCTAATAATTATTATACTTGTACACCACAATTACTGTGGAATCTACATATCTATAATGAGTTTTATAACATTGACAACAGTATTATTATTAGAAATATTATTTTTGATTATAATAAATGATGATATTTTTATCACGACCCAATCAATTTCGAGAACATTATTTTTGGTTACTCTTAGTTATATATTTTTCTCGAATTATTGCTATATATTACTTTTTAAGTTCATCTCTCATGTTTTGTAAGGGTATCGTTTTTATTTTTTCAAATGGAAACACATATTTTGATTTTAATGATATGTATGAGGCTCTTTATTTTAATAGTAAATGGTGTTTTTAACAGAACTTTTTTCGTTGATTAGATGTAAAACTTTAATTTTTCGAATTACATCAACAGATATGCTTCGAATTATTCAAACAATATCAACAGATATACTTAAAGTTTGTTAGTATACAAGGCACAATGTTGCGTGTTAACATAAATACACCAACTGACAATGCACAAAGCTTATCTATCGTTAAAGTCATAATTTAAAATAAACGCTACGTGTCTATGAATAGTGACGTCGTAAAAATATAATTAACTACCTGTTAAATTTACACCTTGTATACTGTACATGAATTTTAATTCAAAAATTTAAACTTTAAGATGTTTACCTAATCAACAAATAAATTTATGTTAAAAATTCAAATGACATTTACTATTGAAATAACAACCTAAAACATTATATTAAATTCAAAATATGTGTTCCCGTTTAAAAAAATAAATTTGACATCCTTACAAAGTATAAGTTTTTTGTGCTCATTTAATACATATTATTGTACATATTTATATTAAATTTGATTATTCTTTAAATATTTTTTTCTATTTATTATGATAAGTTTAATACTTTATGTACTAAGTTCTTTTTATTAATTAAATTTATTTATTTTTTTTTACAAACAGATGGCTAATATTTAAACATACTTGTATTGAAATTAAATTGAGATGTAATAAATAAAGAATTAAAAGCAATCAGTTGACAAAATAAAATTGTCTATCAAATGTTTTTATAATTTAACTTTAAAAACTAACTAGATATAGGACTGTATACCTGTTTTAAAATTTAAGTAATACAATTGAAATAAAAATATGGCTTCTTCTTATAAAAGTTATTATATTAAATTTTATTTATCCCAAGTTCGATTTCTACTATTGATCATTAATAAAAATACGTAAGGTTAATACTAAGTATGATAAAGCATAAAAAACAAATAATTAGAAAATACATTTAACAAATAAACGAGACGCTTTCATTAAACAAAAATCGTTTTTCACCCTTCTTGTACCAAGTAAACCAAATAAATTAAAACCGGTTAATTCAATTTTTGTCACCTATAACATTTTGGTGCCGAATTTTCTCACGATGCAACTGAGGTCTTTTTTTTATACTTGGGTTTAAAATCAAGAGGGTCGAACCCTAAGACAAAAGATGTGCTCTTTTCATCAAACCGGTCACCTATTGTTTTATCCGTTACCCGAATTGGATACATTTGCCCGACAACGCAGCGTCTCATTTGCATACGGCCCCTGCTTTTGTCTTCGGGCCGAAATTATTTTTTCAGTTTACATGCTCATATTTTTTCACTCTTTATTAGGTTTTGTTTCAACGCTTTCATCGCGAACCCGCGTGAAGCGACAAGGTAAAAAATAAAATCCTCTACAACAAATGTGTTACAATGTCTTCACCAATATGTGCCACCACCTGGACCGTAACCGGTTCACTTGTCCAAAACAATAATGTCATTGTTTTAACTGACGAACAATGTCGACAGCGAAACTTCATAGAATACCAAATTAGGGTGCAAACCAGATGACCTTAAAGCTGGTCGGACAATCGCTCAACGTATATAAATGTTAATGCTAATGTTATCTTTTTATCAACATTTTTAAATAAATTGAATTAATATAATAATATCCTGTTATTCTTGCTATCGTGAAATATTATTATTTCCTATGTTTTTACATTTCAAATAATAAAGTTATAAGTAATTATTAAAATTTGTCAACACACATTTAAAATAACAAATATATTTTAACTTCTTGTTTACAGAAGTTTACATATTGAAATAAATAAACGTATTATTAACAAATATTCGTTTATTAGAAGAATATATATTGTATATTTCAATTTCTTATTTCATAAATACTTTATTGAAATAATTTTAATTGAGTACCTTACGGTATAAAAAATACAACTTAATTTGTTAAAATGAAATACACCAGTTACTTGAACATTTATTTTATATAAATATTTGTTCATTTTTTTTTTATTATGAAATGCGTTGATTTTTATTCGACCAAATAATTGAAAAGGTCTACTAATAGACGAAAAACAAATATACATTATTCAGCACTTGAAAAATACATAATCTTTCTCTCTCTCTCACTCAAAAAAAAAAACGAGCAAACAATTACGCGAATCTTTCACCTATAAATTAAGCATTTAGAAATATATTTTTGGATTCACGACAGGTATATTAACCTTAAAATTTTGTAATTTTAATAAAATAAATAAAGTTTTTAAAATCTGATTTTTACAACTTTTTTATTTGAAGTATGATGAAGTCAATTTTTTATTTAATGACAGTTTTTTACGTCATTTCTAAAAATGCTACTCTTTCGAAAATGGTATGTAAATTTCAATTAAAACACTTTATACAGTAAAACCTTTGAATAGGTCACACTACAAGGTTCACTAGGTAACCTAAATTTTGTTCACTATTAAGATTAATAGTAATTATTTATTACTATTAATTATAGGGGTAATTATTTGAAATTCATTAAGGAGCACATGTATATTTTAATAATACGTATATTATAATTTATTTTAATTTTACATGTGCAAATACAATTTATATATTTTTTTTGCGTTAAAAAATCGGTCAGATTAATGGTCTACTTATAATTATACAGTCTCTTAATTATTTCATTAGTAAATTCATTTGCCAAAGTTATAGTTGAAGAATATACAGAGTAAAATTTAGTTTTAAACTCTCACTTTCAACTCCTATAACGTTTAAAAACATTAACATTTTCTTTTTGTTGGTTTTAATACTTTATGCATAGTTGGACTGCGTTGTAATAATATTTATTATTATTAATAATAATAAAACAATTTTTCAATTTTAAAATAGCTAGTTATTTTCTATCAAAAATTATTAATGAATCAATAAAAAATTTAGAACGAGTAATAATTGAATTACAAGCATTGCAATGCATAGATTGGGTATGGACACGAATGTGTACAGTTTTTTTATTATTTTTATTATTAAACACAAATAATAAATATGATTTTAATGTAGTCTAAGAATACATAAATTATTTTTAAAAATATATTTCGAAATGTTGAAAAGTGAACAGATAATTGTGGTTCACTTAGTATTGTACTGCTTTCAACCTCAATTGATGAAATGTATAGCTGTGAAGGACGCAGAGCAACCAACGCGTTAAACTAGTTATTTGACGTTTCTTCTCCAGACTCGCATTCTTTCTCATTTGCAGTCGTTGCTATTGTTGCTGTTTAGATTGTCACGGTGGAAATTATTTCATCCAATTTAACATAGGTGTTAACCTCAACACTGCTATCAATCAGTCCGACGAATGGATACTATTTCTTTATTATCTATTGTAGATTGTTTTTCTGAATGTTTTGATTATTCACCGCAATAAAGCGACTAAAACCATACCACAAAAAGCACAGTTTTACAGATTCAAGCTCGACATGCGTTTGTTCATAAGCCACACTGCGTCTAAAACATTAATTACCCTTCAGTATAAGAAAAAAAAATTAGCATAGATTGTTATTAAGATTTTGTAATATAGCCTTTCAGCTGTAGTCCTTTAGCTTTGACAAAAATTAGGTTTTTCTCATTTCTACTGAAAATATAAGTTTAATAAGAATACGGTTAACATTTTATTTGAAGCAAAGTTGATTTATATTTTATGTAATTTTTAAAAATAAACTAAATAACTTAAAATTCCGATTATCGATGATCAAAATTCTAAGTTAGACTTTTTTTAAGACCCTTTTCTTTTAGATGAAATAATTTTTTCTCTCAATACTCGCAGAACTTTTATAGAAGAAAAAAGTTAAAAAAAAAAAAGACCTTTAATACAAATTCAAATTGCTCACTCAATAATAATGTCAATAATCGCAAGTTTTTTATATATTATACTTTCAACTAACTGTTAATGGTGAAAAAAAAAATCATTTTTGATTATTTTGTTTATACTAAAAAACTTTAAAAAACGATCGTTCTTTGGTTAACAATCGACCATTTTAAACCTAAGTTAAATTATCATAAAGTATTTTTTTCTTCTAACTGTTTTATGTCATTATATAGAAAGGTTTTAATTCCTCTATTTAAGTTTTAAATGTTAACTTTGTAAACGCTTGATTCAATTTTAACTCTCTCCTGTGAGTGGCCAAGTTTTTCAAAACAATAAATATATTTAAAGAATGATACATATTAGGGAGCCTCTTAAGAAAATTGGTTTTCGTATGTGCACATACGTAGTTAACATTTTTAACATGACTTATTATATTATGTCAGAAATTTTGCGTCATTTATTAATAATTTAAAACTCTTACTGTACAGATTTATTTAGATAGTTTCTGATCAAGTTTTGTTTTTTGTATTAAGTCATAAATTTATTGCGAAACTAAAACATTAACCATGAAGTTCATACAGTTGTTTCTCCATAAATAAAATATAATAAATTTTTCGTTCAAAAAATGAATGATTAATTTATTAAATTTTTTGATAAATGTACTTTAATAATAAAGCAAATAATTTTATATTTATTTTGTAGACAAGTAACTCTGCTAAACTATATGATGAAAAATGGGTGGAATTTTTAAATCAAATAAAGTTAAGAACTTCACCAAAGTTGAGTTCAAAGCAAATTGATGAAATTAATAGTGGAGATTCAATTTCTGAAAAAACTCTAAGAGATTACAAACAAAGAATGAGAGAATTGAAATGTGGTTATGGTATTATTGTAAAATCGATGTTTGAATATATTGAAATACTTATTGAACAACTTATTGAAAATCTTGAATTCAAAAACAAAATTGTGGCGGTTGTAAATAAATTTAATAGTTATCTTGGTAAAATTTTTTCAGCGTTGATCGTTGCTAACGATAACACAGCTTCATGGATGTGGGAATTTTTTATGATGTTAAACATAATTAAATTTACTGATTTTGATCGTTTGGTTTCAAATATTAGTGAATTTAAAGTTTTAAAATTTCAGATAGATGAGTTTGCAAATACTTGCAGCTGTTTTAATATTGAAATTCCCCAAATAAAATCATCGCTATTAAATAATATAAATGAAATCCTAAAGCCAACAGTATTACATTTACAGTTATCAAATAAAGACAAAAGATGGTCTTATATATATCAATACGCCAATGAATTTGAGATTACCAAAATTATAGTGATAAATTTTCTATTGGATTCCAAGTTTCAAAATTCACAACAAAAATTCATTAAAGATATCAATAATAGTTTTTTTTATATTTCAAAAACTCCCATAAGTGATTTATTCACATATCCGATCATTAATGTTGTGAATCATCATAATATGATAGCTGACCTGATAAAAACTTCTGTTGCCCACCATGTATGGATGCATTTGGAAATGTACAAATTAAACGAATGGAAAAATGACTCATTTTTGTTTGCAATTCAAATTCCGTTAGAAAAAGCTGTCAAATTTTTGGATTGTTACAGTGATGAGTTTTATTTTGATTTACTTAATAAATTAAATAAAAACAATTTTTCTTTAACTCCTATTGAGAAAATTGTTGATGAAGCTAAAAAAAATTTCTGCAAAAATTTTTTTTCATTAAAGATAGAAAGTAGTACTGATGAAAACGTTCGACGAATAGAATTAAGATCAGTGGAGAATTTCATCAATGCTAAAGATAAACATCACGCAAATAATTTGAATAACTACATTGATTTCTTAGAAAAAGATTTAGGTTCATTTATTTTCGTTATATTCAATTTTGTTAAACAAAGCATGAATGAGAGCTGGAATTAAAAGTAGAGACGAGTATATTTGAAAAATATTATAATTTATATCGTTCGAAGTATGTTTTATAAATTGTGAAAAATGTAAATAGATTTAAGAATACTTTCTTTCTATAAAAACCCTGCAGATGTATTTGATATTATTTATCTATTATTATTTATTTGAAGAATAAAAAAATATACCATATTATTGATATACCACCATTGTTGAAATTTATCAGGTTGATTTGCCTTTTTTGCAATCAAAATATAAGCGAAACTACGGCTCATGGCTATGGACTAAACCATGTTTTAGTATTGAGAGCCTTTTCCATTTGATCAGAGTTCCACAGGAATAATGTAACGAGATTGTTAAATTTAAACTATCATGATGAAAAAACTTTATATGAGCCAAAATAATAATAATAAGGAAAATATCCTAAACAATTAGAATATGCGCGTAAAATTTCTTACCTATTTGTAACACAATAGTTAATAGTTTCTCATTTTATCAATGTAAATTAATATTGCAACCACTCCCACTAGTGATCTTATAAAAATATCGTTGAAAATCGATGACAAATATTCAAGATTCCATCTCCTCCTATGGACATTTTATACTGAGATAATTAAGAAATATTTACTGGCATAACTATGTAGTAAACAATTTAGGAGGGCTAATTTAATTTCTTTTTTTAATATCCTTCTCCGACTGGTAGAGTAAGTTTCCCTAACTTCACTAGAATACGAAAAAAAAAGAAAAATGCGACGAGTAAATGAGAGTCTTATCCTTAAATAATCATCTTATATAATAACTAGTAACTTAAATTTGTATTCATATTTATTTTAATTAAATTTTGTATAAATAAATTTTATTTAAATCTATTGTGATATTACGAAATTCATAAAACAAGACATATTTGATAAGCGTTCGCAGATACCAGATTTAGAAATTGTTAACAATAATCAACCTAAGATTAATTGCGATGACCATTTCATTAAAATTTATAATATTTATGAAATTATCATTATTATTTGCTCCTCTCACCACCATATAGATAGGTCTAGGAATTCGGCTGTTTTACTCCGAAAATCGCGTTAATAATTGAAAGAAATTAAAGAAATTGCAGCCGAGTTGGCAAACCGATCTATTAGTGATAGACGATCGAATAATCATTAGAATGTTATTATACTCTACTAAATAGTTTTAGACTATCAAAGTATCGGATAAAATATTCGATATTTTTTATTCAAATAAAATCATTGAAATTTGCATAACTAAATAATTGTGATACTGTACTACCAGATAAAATATTCAGTAATTTTCATTTGGATAAAAATTACTGTTTCTTTTACTTAGTCAAAGTATTCAACCATGCAAATTTTCATTCAAATAAGACATTTATTGTTTCATTTTGTTTTATTAACAAATGAATTATTCGTGAGTTATAGACTACCAAATAGTTCAGTAGTATTTATTAGGTAGTGTTCATTATTATTATCATTACTATATACGAGCACAGAAGTAGGAAAAAACATACTTTTCAAATTTTCAATAAAATATATTAGGTTGCATAAAATTTTCAACTTTAAAAAATTGTATGTAAAATATACCAAATTTAAAACTCCAATAATACTTATGGTATAATTAATTTTTATATTTTTTAATAGATCGTAAAAATAAATTATACGATTATACAACTATACGATTGCATTGTTTATACCTACTAATGAAATTTTTTTAAGTGGATCAATCTTGAATTAATAAAAGTATTATAATAGATACGTTAGAAATATAATATTAATTTTATATAGTTACTCTGTGTAGTCATTTTTTTAAATTATATCATCGGTAGGTATATATAAGTTCAAAAATAATGTGACTAAGATTTTTTTTAATTAGGTATTTATTTAGAACAAATAATCATAATTATATTTTATACTACTATTTATTGAGTAGAATATATTAGTGTTCTTTCTCTTTCCACTTATGGTACACTCCTTCAAAAAGGTTTTTTTTTGTTTGAGGTACCTTTCAAAGTTATGTATTACCTTAATATTCGATTCAAATTTGAAACTTTGAATTTATTTCTTGAGTCGGAAGACTAGTTAAATATTGTAGAGTTTAAGATTTTATGAAAAGGGGCTAAAATTAAAAAAATAATACATTTCTATGTTTTTTTGTTTAAAGAAAGGTCATTCATGTTCTTAAATATAACAATGACCGTAATGAGTTCTTGAATTATATTGATTTTAATACTTCAAGCAAACTTAACAAAATGGACATTAGCTTAGATATTATTACATTAAATATAATCAGTTTTATATCCTCCTATTTCCCGCACTTAATATGCTACAGATTATATTCTATATTTATAGATTTAAAAAAGATAAGAACAAGGGTAGTGTCAGCCACGCTCTATTTTTCCATTTCATAGTGAAAAGAATTATTTTCATGTTGTATGTTTTTCTCATCCAAAACTAAACATTATATTAACTCAAAACGTAATGACACAAAACTGGTTATTGACCAGTCAAAATTGTATTTAGACCATTCTACGTTTAAGTTAGTAAAAAAATAATAAAAGGTTCCCATTTAACTATCATAAAATACCCCTGAAATTTATCCATATAAATAATTTTTTCTAACAATAAATTTGATGTTTAATATACTTTATACAAATAAATTAAATTTTAATGTACAATTTTATCAAAAAACAATTTTTTGTTAGTATGCTTGATAAATCACAATCGATACACAGATAAACATGTTTTTTTACAAAGACAGATAGGCGCAGGGAACGATTATTTTGGCGGGCTAAGTTCAATTCTCCTCCTCAAAAAAGTAATTCTTACAGCAATGCATAAAATTTTGTAAAATTTCTAAGAGGAGATCAAAGACCCCAACTGATTTATATTTAAAAAAATATGCGTTGAAAATTGTGCGTCATTACTGATCAAAATTTAACCAGTTTTTATAATGTTTTATATGATTTCTGACAAATTATATTTTTCTCCGGTAAAAGTAAAAAATATATTTATTAAAATTATTAAAACAAAATATAATTAATTTCAATTAATTATTAAAAAATCTATTTGGTACCATTTTTTCAAAAGCAAATACATTAATTTAATAAAATATTTACAAAACAATAACTTATTTATAATTTTTTTATGTTAAATGTTTTTTTATAAAGCTCCATGCCAACCTTTTACGATTGAAAAAAGCTCAAAATAAAGAAAGTGCCAAAAATATAAATTATTTATTTTAATTATACAGAGTATACCATATGTGTAAACCGTGTAGTTAATATACAGGCGCACAAAAAGTGTTGATCTGTATTTAAATATACAAGTGTACCTAAAGCGTAAATCATATATTTTAATATACAGGTGTGCTAAAGTGTTAATCGTATTTCTATGAACCAGTAGCGTTTACCGATATATAGGATAATGTTACCGTAAATCATTTATTTTGTTTTTTATAAATATTTAAGGTTAATTTTTACATAAGATCTAGTAGATTAACACATTTTAAGAAATTTATATGAGATTATTTCTATATAACTCTTTTTGAACTTTCAATAAAAATTAATCAATTTAAGTAATTATTATTACTTATTGTAATAAAGGATATTAAAATATCCTGGGGATACTTTGGTTGTAACCTCTGAATAATATTCCTAGCGTATCTAAAATTGTATTCGCATTAGGATTCGGGAAAGCATCGCCTACTGTAATGCTGTTTAGTTTTTGAACAGCATTACGAATAAACAAAGGGCTACTACTTATAACAGATACAGAGTTGGCTTGTCGCGTTATTTAATTCTGGTTTTAATTTTAATACTGGTTTCCTCTAGTATCAATACTTCGCCTTTTCCTAAATTAATTACAAGTCTATAGTCCATTAAGAATGGGTTACCGATAATACCGTCTGGAGGAGTCGGAAATGGCGATATAAAACACGAGATTCGAAAGTACGGTTATTTGTGCCAACATTTATTGTCAACTGGGTAGAACCGATTGTTCTTGTCTTTGAAAATACCATCAAAATTAATATAAAAAGTCCAAATAAGTAGTTTTGTACTCGGGCGGTCAGTCACTCATGCCCTCATAATCTCATTTCTCTCACTTGCTCACAGTTATTCTCAATTACGATCAGTCGTTCACAGTTCACACTTCGTTTTGAATTCATCTCTTAAGTATCAATAATCGAAAATATGTACAAGATGTGATATGCCGCATCCATGTGGGGAATATCATAAAAAAAATGAACGCGTATTTATTTCAGAGTATTTACTGGAAACATCAAGATAGGAAAATAATAATCTGACCAAAAATCTATAAGATTTAGAATTAGTTTTATGAGTACATAGTTTAAGTAGGAACAAACAAATATCAAGTGATTATTAATAATAGATATATATTCCGTATTCGTTATATTTTATTTTTTGACATGTATCTCGAAATCCTTCAGCCCCCTTTGCGAAACGACACTGGTAAGTATTAAGATTGGTTTTCCGACAGTTACTACAATAGTTTGAGTTTGTTTTTGCCTCTGATTTATTATTGATAATTAATTCCTGGAGTTTTTTTTCTAGACTTTCTTTGATTGCTTTTTTTAATGATACTAAATTCTTATATTTAATTACATGTCTAATGTTCAAATATAAACCTTCAATATAGCAAGTTAAAGTTTTTTTTTCAATATAACTTCTGCTTCTGACGTCCTTTTTCCGGCTACACTTATGTTGAAAACATTTTTTTAGACGTCCTGCATATTCTTGAATCAAATCTTCCCCCTTTTTGACAGGTAGAGTTAAATTCTCCTAGTAAATAACATGACATTTGAACAAAACACCGTCTCGAGTAACGATTTATAACCAGCCCAATCAGTTATCTTCTTATTCTGAGTAATCGCGAAAGCTTTACCGCTTAGTTTCGTAGTTATTTTTTCTACTAAAACGGGTTTGAAATCTTTTTGACAATGCTTCATCACGAATTTGCTCGTGTTTATAAACGGGTAAATTCTTCATCTACTTGACCATTAAAAAACGGAATTAATTTAACAGTGGTTTCTTAGGATATTCCTGTCATTGTATATTGCTTAGTAGTAAAAAGATGTACTAAACTATTTAGGGACTTGGAGAATCCTCCAAGGTACAAGAGGATAAATCAAAATAATCGTACAAGTTGTCTCTAAACTTATAAGGACTGTTTATTTCGTATTCGAATTATCTATTTGTGTATCTGTAGTCTTGTCTAAAGCAATTAAATTAGGTGCTGTGACTATCTCAAGATTTAACCTAGAACGTGAACGGGTTATCCGATAGTTTGATATTGTATCTAAATATTTGACTTATTTAAGATTTTTATAATTGATATGTTTAAGATTAACAAGACACATAAATGAGTCAAAATAAATTACTTTTATGATTTATATCTAAATATACATCTAATTTACGTATAAATTTACATAACTATTCTTTTGGATTTATCAATACTGTTAGTTTTATAAATAAGAACAAAATTTGTACAAAATAAAAAATAAAATCAATTATATATATATATATATACAGAGTGATCACAATCTGGTAAGACGTGATGATAAAAAAAAATTACGAACAATAATTTCAGAGAAATAAAGGTTTTACTAGATTTCAATCACACTTTATGTATGTGTGTTTATTAATTTGTAATTATTTTTATGTATATATCAACTCAATTAACAAAACTAATACGTTCCAATAGTTTAAATTATCTTTAATTTTTTTTATGTTACCTTGTATTTTTTTTTTTTAATTACATTAATTAACTTTAATTAATTAAATTAATTAAGAATTACTTTATTCTTAAATAAATATGACGTACTTAATAACGTACATTTATTTGTCGTTATGTACTATCACTTCTTTACAGAAAGGAAACTGTATTTACAATAACTGTACTGAGCTGTACTTAGCGTATGTTATAAATAGCTATTATAATAATTACCTCACCTAGATATAATTATGTTAATATTTACATCTAGGTGAGAGGAAGAGTACTGCCGAGGAATGTTTAGTTATAAAAATAGCAGCACCCACAATTCACCTCTAGTAATTACTTTAAATTGTTAATAACGACGCTTTAGGAGTTTTGCCATTTGAGAAATTAAATTTGACAACCTTATAAGGTATAAGTAATGAACATAAAAAAACTTTATGATTGACAAATTGAGTGAAACATTGATCTAAAAGAAACAAATAAAAAAATATTATTTTTATTTTTCGATTAATTAAGTAGTTTGTGATAAGTGAATCACTCTATATATATATAAGTTTATACAAGACTTGAATCGTATTGACAAACAATATTAGTTTAGAGTTATTTTCACTATATCAAAACAAAACACAGGAATACGCTAAGGCGTCGAATAACTATAGAGGTGCATAAAAGGCAAAACCAAAATCAAACGACTGGTTCATGTGAATGTCGAAAACGCAACAAGTTCGTTAAAACGTCTGAGATTTTCAGTCGACAGCCACCTGAGGTTTGTTGTGATGAAAGAGGAAATGCTCGATGATCACCAATTGTCATGTTAATATCTAAACTGGCGAGTAAGACATGGTAAGGTATCAATACGAATATTATGGGACCAATTTTAACTTATGAAATATGCCTGATAACAATTTGAAAAAAATTTAAGAAACTTTGAGAATAAAGGACTATTTTTCGATAATACAATAAATAAAGACATAGAAAAGAAATCCAAAAATATAGAAAATTATCAAAGTACTTCGGATAACAAACTATGCGAAGAATCAGAGAATTTAGTGGTTTGGATACGTAATAAAAAGGGAAAAACAAATGAAATAAAAAGTCAATCGAATACAAACCTATATGAAGAAAAGGATTCAGGATCGTAACTATTAAAGGTTGGTGACAGTGACAGCCAAAATTATTTGACTCTCTTTTTAATCATCCGATAAAATTTGTTCAAAGAATTTTTTAGCAGAAGTAAATGTTTTATTACAACATGAAATAGAAGATTCCATAGGTTTATTTTAATGAAAATAATGACATGAGTTTTACGAATATATTAATAGATTTTTGTAAATTATAATCATTTAGAAAATTTGCAGCATTGAGTAAACTCTTTTTTTTATTAACTAAATTAAACTACAAATTAATCAATCTAACTAGTTATAAAGTTACATTACTTTTATAATAAAAAATAACCTTCATTGTAATTAAGTTTCTTTTTTTAACATTTCTTTGTTAAATATGAAATTTATTTTAATTAAACCCTAATACAAGTAATAATATTCTAATGAAACTTCACTTAAAGGACACGATAAAATTATTAACACAAACTACCATAACAACTTTTTGCGACCATTTTTTATTCATTTTGAGCTAATTATGAGCCAAAAAAAGAGATTAATAGTGTTTATATTAGCATAGCACAGTTAAAAAAGGGGACACAGACCTTTATGCTTTTTTTAAATACGTCACTGATTTCTTAATGTCATTTAATCAAACTGCAAAATACAAATATATAAGTCAGAAGAATGTAAAATACATTTATATTACAATAAAATAAACAAGCACAATACATTTGAATACTATTATTTGAGTCTAGATGTAATCTTTAAGCGTATTTACGGGGAAATCGCCAGAAAACCTAGGAAAAAAATTTGAAAAGACCTAAATTTGAAGATAATAAGAAAGAGATAATAAATGTTTTTTTATGTCCAACCTCAATTATAAAGTTCTAAATATACCATTAAAGTACATGGTAAACTTTAAGTATAAATTGATCAAAATAGAGTAACGAATAATTTTTTAAAAATTATTCTTAAATAATTAATTGTCATTAATTAATTAAAAAAAATAATTAATTAAAACAAATTTTCATTTAATTTCAATAATTAAATTACACTAAATTTTCTTAATAAGTAGTTTCGTTACAGTTACTTGTAATTCAATTTAAATTGCTACTCAAATCTGAAAATTTGAAGCAAAATACGAAGATCACTTTTAGCTTCGATGCGAAGCTGAGAAGGTATTGGTTTTACTATGATGTGTATTTTTTTTTGTATTTGTTACCACTTTTTCTCAGCTCTCACTGAACCGATTTCTTTCACTGATACGTCAAAAGATCACAAATCGTATCTAGTCGAAGACATTACCCTCAAAAATTGAAAAAAATTTCTTTGTTTCCCGTAAATCAGGGAAATCTCCAAAAAATTTACAAATTTAAAAATCGCTAATTTTCCTCATTTTTTTCAATTTTTTTTACTTAAAAATAGCTATAACTTTTTTAAAAATAACCAAATCAATATAATTTTTTTTTTATATAGATGCATGATATCATTACCTTTCATTTGGTATAAATTTTTTTTATATGTGACCCTTTACTTGCCCACAGGGGGGGATTTAAAATGACAACTTTTTCACTAAAAATTAATTTTTTAAACTTGATTTTTGAAAATGTTCCAGAAGGTCTGACACTTTTATATATATTTTAAATTAAAGTTTATGTAATATACTTTATCATGAAAAAAAAAAAATTTCGGACTTTATCTTATCTTCAAATTCTTGAAAATGGCTACCGAATGCTATTTTTGTGTAAAAAAATTCGATTTTGTATTTTACATTTTTAACTTTAAAATGCTATAACTTTTTGAAAAATGTATGGATCAACATTATTTTTTTATGAGAAATAATATTTTTTAATAATCCCTCTTTCATTCGGCATACTTTATCTTAATTAAGATATTAATAATGAACTAGCAGATCATGTAGCTTTTGGAATAATCCACCAATTTTTTAAAATTAAACACTATCTAAAGATTTGCATCGAAGCGTTTTTTTTTTATAGTGATTTTAATCACTGTCAGATATCATTATACTTGATCCAACAATGCCACGTCACCACTGTGCCTTGACCCCCTGTGCAGGGTTTTTTTGATTGAAATATGTGTGTTCAAACAAGATATAATTTGGATTAGTTAATTTTTTAATTTGTTTCAATGTTATATTATTTGTACTTTTAGCTATTTGGGACATATAAATTCAAAATAAATAAATAATAAAAATAATTTTAAATTAATGTAATATTTGTAAAAATATTGAAAGTCATTACACTGTCGTTGTGCTCGGATGTGCTTCGTGTTGAACTTAAATGTTTGAGAGTTCCATGAAGATAACGAGTATATTTTTTATTATAATGGGATCCTACAATGTGTTATGTATAACTAGTCTACTGTCCATCAGTGATTATTTCAAAAGGTGACATACTTTCCACAAAAGCTTTTTGAGTTTTATCTAATAGCATATCTATAAATTTTTTGGACAATTGAATGTTTTTAAATGATTAAGTAAATTAACATAAAATTCATTGTTATGATCTCCTAAATATTGTAAAACCATTTCCAAGAAGTCCTATCAAATTAACCAAATATTCTTGATGTCAAACGTGATAACGTATCATGATTTTCTTTAATATAAATGCATATATAGTTTTGAAATTCTAACCTTATATAATTATCAATGTAATTTTTTTTTGTGTATTTTAAATAAAAATTGTCATAGTAATGAGGCCACCGATTTTTATTAAAGTTACATGAATCTGACATGTTAAAGTTACATCGAATATAAATTTAAATTATTTTAATATTTTATCTTCTTTAAGTTAAAAATAACTACTTTGAATTTTTGATCTAACTTAAATTGTCCTTTTATTTGAAAAGCTTGAGGATTTATCCATGTTTGCAGTTGATTGCTGACGTTTCGGACTCATTACAGAGTCTATCTTCGGAGCGATAGTTACTGCTCGATGGCTGAAACTATACTGTTACAATAAAATACTAAAAAGGTTTTAACTTTTCGTTAGTTCCAAAGAAAATTCCAAAGGAAGACATTATAAGCAGTATAGAAAACTCACTGTACCAACTTGAAGACCACAAAAAAGAAATCATCAGGCAAGAAAGCTGCAAAATTTTAAGAGAATCAGTCCTGCTAAAACAGAACTACAACAAAGAAGAGTTAACTGCACTCAAAAATTTAAGAAACAACCATAATGTTATAATACTAAAAGCTGATAAAGGAAATGCCACAGTTATCATGAAGACCACAGATTATAATACTAAAATAAAGAAATTACTAGAAGAAGGGCTGTACAAAATCATAAAAAGAAATCCGCTAAACTGAATAATCAAACTAGTCAATGATGAAACAAAGAAAGCAATACTAGACGAAAAAGAACGAAAACAACTACTAGTGACGGTTCCAAGACTACCAAGAATTTACGGAGTTCCAAAAATACACAAGAATGAAGTGCCGCTCAGATCAATAGTCAGTGCCATAAACTCGCCAACATATAACTTGGAAGGTCACTTAGCACAAATTTTGAAAACCTACACTGGAAAAATATCTTCCTATGTAAAAAAACTCGACTCATTTTGTGGAAAAATTGCAACAAACCAACTGGGAAAACGGAGACATTCTGGTCAGCTTCGACGTAGTCTCGTTATTCACAATGGTACCAGTAAAAGACACACTGAATATCATAAATAAACAACAATGGTTAGACAAAAACTACATAGTTTACTGGAATTGTGCACCAAAACAACAGTTTTCACATACCAAGACAACATCTACGAACAAACTAATGGAATGGCAATGGGATCAAGACTAGCACCAGTATTCGCCAACATATTCATGGAATGGTTTGAAGTGGACGCAATGAACACATATATGCAAAAACCAAAAATGTGGCTACGGTATGTAGACGACACTGTCGTCGTATGGCAACATGGCGTTGACAAACTACAATCTTTCCTTCAACATTTAAACAGTATACACGCCAATATACAGTTCATTATGGAAACAGAAGAAAACGGGAAATTGCCATTTTTGGATGTAATGGTCAATAAACAACCTAATGGAAAATTCGGCACAGGAGTATACAGAAAAAGCACACATACTGATAGATATTTACACGCCGATTCACACTACTGCCCCTCACAAAAAATGGAACTATTACACACAATGGCAACAAGAGCCGTCAGAATAGATGAAGAAAACCACGTGAACGAAGAAAAAACATACCTACGACAAGCACTCAAGAACAATGGATACACAATCAAAAATATCAACAAGGCAATCAGAAAAGCAGAGAAAAGAAAAAACACAACACGTAATGACGATGAAGAAAACAAAGAAGATGAAAAGAAAGGAACTTTAATACTACCGTACATACAGGGAATCACTGACCGCATTTCAAGAATCACACAAAAACTTAAACTAAGAACTGTTTTTAAACCGAACACAGTCGCAGGATCACTGCTCCGGAACCCGAAAAATAAGCTACCAGAGACGCAAACCCCCGTAGTATATGAAATACCGTGCTCTTGTGGTAAATCCTACATTAGACAAACAGGAAGAGCTATTGCAACAAGAATAAAAGAATACGAAAAAGACGTGGATTACCAAAGGACAGAAAAATTGTCAGTAGCCGAACACGCTAAAAACAAAGGACATGACATCCAATTTGATAAAGTAAAAATACTAAACAAAGAAAATCATTTTGGCAAACGAATGTACAAAGAGGCAATAGAAATCGAAAAATGTCCAGAGAATTTCAACAGAGAAGACGAATGGAAAATAAGCAAGACTTGTTTATCCATCATACAACAGACAAAAAGAAAATCAACTAACAACACTGAAAACAGTTCAATACAAGAAAAAGTTACTATCAACGTAATGGAAAACTATCGGTGCAGAAAAGGAAGACCAAAATGCCAAAAATGTCAAAAACAACAACAATAATCAAAAACAAAGTCGTCAACAAAAACATCAGCAAAAACAAGATACCGTAAACAACATGAGTCATAAACAGATATGATAAACAACCGATACAGTAAACAACTGATATGATAAACAACCAACGTATAAAAACAGACTGATAACAAGTTAAGCCGCCAGTATAGTTTCAACCACCGAGCAGTAACTATCGCTCCAAAGATGGACTCTGCAATGAGTCCTAAAAGTAAGCAATCAACTGCAAACATGGATAAATCCTCAAGCTTTTCAAATAATATGACAATCCATGAAAGTTTCTACACATTCATAAATTGTCCTTATCTAAAAATTTATGTACTGTACAATGACCGCGACGGTTATTATATAAACTCACACTCAAAAATGCGATATTCGAACCGCACCAGTTAAAATATCTTTTTTACATTTTTTTAAACGTAACAAAATTTTTTATTTTTATTGTATTTTGTATGAACAGACTATTAATTAGGTTAGTTTTAATGAACAGCAAATCATTCAAATATTCCAATATAAAATATTTTTTTTATAAATTCATACTTACAATTTTGATACACAGTTGCCATAGATTTAACAAAATATACAAATACATTATAATTTTCCTATAATTTCTCCGTAAAAATTACAATATTAAATTATTGATTATCAAATTTATATTAAATTACTATAATTAATATTTATTCATATATTATACTTATAAATTAAGGAACTACAAAGCAAGATGTAATTAAGGAAATAGCAGTTGATATTGTTTTTGAAATAATATAACAATTCCATCTAATAATTAAACACTAACTTCAGACTTCAATCGAAGCGTTTTTTATGATAGTGATTATAATCACCGTCAGATATCATTTATACTTGTTCTAACTATGCTACGTCCCTACTGTGTTGATTTTTTTAATAAGAAACTATATTGACATATGTGTCATGTAAAGCTTATTTCACTTATAATTATTATTTGGTTTTTTTTTTTCTTAGTGTATAGTATGACTTGGATTATCAAATCTTTCTTACTTTTTATTCGTCTTTTTTGTTGTAATTTTCAGGTCATTTTTCAATTTTTATTAGTTACTTATAAATTTGTTTACCAAAATAAGTTTCTTTATTTGAAATTTTAACTTTGTTAAAATTGTATCCTCTATTTCTTTTTGGCGTGTTTAGCTACCATAAAATTTGCTTCTCTATGATAGTCAACGTCTTTTTCAAGTTCATTAATTTTCGCTACAAATTTTTTTTTCCGTTGGTCCAATTTTTGACTTGTCTCAATAAAACAATATTTCATAGATATCTAATGTTTGCATTTCCAGAAATTTGTCCTTTAGGCTACGAAATAGTATTCCTATGACCGTTATTGGTTTATAATTTCTTGTATGTATCGCAATATTAGAATTCTCTTCTTATAGTCTTTCATCTTCGTTAATACTTATATTTTTTCTTTTTTCGGCTTTTTTAGTGTTTTGTTTTAAATATGCATCTATTATTTTAATAATTTTTTTAAAACAATGGTTGTTCGAACCATTTAACTTTTATGTATTAACTCATCTTTATTTTTTAGTTCTCCAAATAATAATAATAATAAAATCACAATAATTGTTATTAATATATTATTTAATAAAATTAATTTGTTTAATTATTGTAATATAATAATATAATCATTTACATGTTTAATTTTATGTATAAATAAAATACAAAATTCTAAAAAACATAAAATTTCTTTTATACCAAGTACAATCTATAAAACATTATTATTATTTTACTTCCTCATGAATAATACGGATTGTTATCCATCAAAGATATAAGAGTTAATTACTAATAATAAATACAAAAAACAATTTTTTTGGATAAGCTACACTGTTAAATATTACAAAAAGTGGCTAAAATTGTTGAATCAAATGGTATTACATTTTCCAAGACAACAGCACACCATAAACACATAATACATTTATATAATAGAATAATAGAACTTTAATTTAATAATTGAGTTATATTAAAGCTATGTGTTAATTACATAGATGTATTTTTAAAATTTTAACTCGCCAGATAATCAGAACTTATTGCCTATCGCTGAATTCAAATTTTTGAATAAAAATTATTTTTTGCTAGTATGTTGCGAACAATATCATGTAAGTTAAAATTTGAGAATTTTACATAATGATAAAAAGTTAATTCTAAATACAATTTAATTTTATGATTAAATCAAATTTTTTTTCAATTAATTGTTAATTAATAAATTAATAATTAATTTAAATTGTTCAACAATTTCTTACAAAATTAAAAAATTAAAAATTGTTGAAAAAGATTTGTTTTAACTTATAGAAATCTAATAATTCAGTAACCTGACATAAGTTTACTGTCTCTCGATACAAGCGCCAATGAAATATAAGGGAAAAGTATCGAATGTACAATTATTTAATTACAGGGAAGAATGGAATTGTGTGTATCGATATACTGACCATTTCGATATACCCAATTAAATTTGGTAGATCGCCATAACAATCTAATTTGCTATAATTACAGTTGACTGCTAAGAGATATTAAGCCAATAACATTTTTCCAACGAATTCATTAAGAAAATATTTGTTAACGACAAGAACTAATTTCTAGTTCATTTCAATGAGTTAAATGAACTCTTAATTATATCAGAAGAAACGTTACTAATATATCAGAATAAAAAAAAACTCTTCGATATCTTTTTTTTCTTATTATTTAATTTCATCGTGTCAAATTATACTGATATTGTTTTTTTTAATAATATATTTATCAAAAAATAAAATTAAATATTTGGTTAAATATGAATTATTAATGTTAATTTTCAATTATTACTGAATTTAACATATTCAAAAAGTATTCATAATAAATTTCATTTAATATGCTAAAAGTATGATTTTTATAATATTTAATTTTTATTTTGTAAAAAATAATATATTATTTAAAGTTTGACGGGCAGAAGGTAATATTTTATTATGTCTAAAGTATTTTTTCAATTTATAATTAAATTTCTGTTGCATATCCATTATTCTTTATAATGTAAAAATTAAAGGTTAACATTTTAGAACATAAAAATAAAACTCATTATTATAATCATTTAACAATACTAACCTTTCAGTACTTAAATTTTAGTAATTTTTAGTTTTTGTTTTCGTAATAATATATCTTCATTAAATAATATTTAATGATTATTATCTATTGATTATTATTCATAATTATATTACTTTTCGGAAACATTAAATATAAATAACATAATCATTAACATTACTTAAAAAATAATTGTTAACGTTATAATACAGTTCTATGGCTATTATCTATAAGCTCAATTTTGGTAATTTTACAAGAAAGAAAAAAACAAATTTCAAATTTAATTAATGTCTTATAAACATCTTGAAGTGTAAAAACCGACCTTCTCGATAAAATTGACTCGTAATTATTCTGGTTATGACAGAAAACATTCTATTGTAAACAAATTACTAAAAATCTCAAAAATTCATTGTCCTAGTGCTATCATAAGAAAAATCATATATTGATTATTTCAAATAATTAATGTTAGCTCAATGATTTTCACTAGAAAATAATTTTATAAAATAGTTATTAATTAGTATTTTTTATGGTATGAAACATTTATTTTTCATACTATTCTATTGTCTGTATAAACTAGGGTTGAGGATTATCCCAAACAAACATCTGGTCAACTAATTTACTGAAGTACATCCAGCAATGAGCTAAAGCACCTTTTTATACTGTGATTATTTGTATAAAATTGTTTAGATTTTAAAAATTAACCCTACAGATGACCCTAACGCAAAGAATTGACCAGCTGCCCCAAAACACCTGCAGTGTTTATACGTGTCCCGTATAGGGCAACCGTCACGATGCTGAACAGTATAAATTTCCATATTTTCTTTTACCTCACCTGGCCACTTTGTCCATCCCCGTTGAACAAATGATCACTCCTCTTGTCTCAATGTCATTGTTTTTTATCGGACGCGTGGCGGTTCTAAGCCAACGCCAAAGCATTTTTATGGAAATTATTTGAATAATCCAAATGATCATTTTTAGAGTTTTACGATTATTAACTTACCACTGGTAAACGAGACCCAACCATTATTTTGTTCTCAGTTTAATTATTTATTAAAAATCTCATTGCATAAAATCCTATTTTTTTATACGATTCTTTTATGCATTTTTCCAGTACTGGCTATTTATTGAAATTATTTGTTGAACAATATAAGTATTATATGCGTCTTTGAATCATGTAAATTAAGATTTCTTAATTCTGATTATTATATGATTATTGTTAATATATAATCAAGCTAATAATATAATCATTTACAGGATATTTGAACACATAGTGTTTATTATTAAAAGTAAAAATATTTTATAGTTGTTTTTTCTAAAGTAATTGGTAGGTATATTTCGTGTTGCTAAAATTAATTATACATTTTTTGGTTTTACTTATATGTGTAACGAATAAACTGTAATTATATTTATAAATGTTTAGTTAGTTAAATAGTTACTATGTATACAATTAAAACTGCTAGTCAATTTAACCATTACAGAAATATCTATTAATCAAAGGATTCCTAGTCTAAGACATATTTAAAATTTCATTTTCAAAGTCTTATATTGTTAAAGAAAGCCATATTTAAGTAATGACTACTTTATTTGAGACTGATTAAGTGAATATTTTCGTGTGAAAAGATAAAACAAAAGATTAAGTAGTATTTAATATTCGATTAAGATTTTGTTCAAATAAATTTGAATCAGTTAAAATATTCACTTTACCTGGGAACTCGAGCAATGTCAATAATTTTTTCATCTTTAAAGTGCTATAAATATTACATAAGAGTATAAAGTTAATTCCAAAAGCAATCTTTAAATTTGTTATAGTTTTACAATATTTATTACCTATTAAAATATTTGGTAACAATACTTCGTAATTTTTTTTGTTCCTAAACTTAACCTATTTGTGTCCCACAGCCGTTAGAACTAACATGTACAACTACTGCTATCTAGTAAATAGTCCTTATAGAATTAATTTTTTTTGTTTATAGATGGCGTTACTAGAATAATAATTTTATATCGTTACTAAAATAATTATTAAAACTATGCATTTGGATAATTTAACCAAATGCAGAAGAATTTTATAAATAATTTTATAATTCTTATGATGGTAGGAATAAATACACAAGGACATATAAAATATTAGTAAAT